TTTATTATATATATATAATACATATATATATATATATGTTTATGTATATGTATATATATGTATATATGTATATATATATATACATATATGTATGTCGATACACACACACACACACATATATATATATCAAATCTTTGCTGTTCCGATTCGCAACTCTTTTGCGTGAGGAAACTGCGCACGTGGTTGTTATACGCTCAGCTGCGAGCCTCAGCTGTCGAGGTACAATACGCCGCTATGAAACAATTGTCAGCGACAAACAACCAGGTTCAAATGAGGAGAGAAATAAACTTGTAAGCAACTAGCATGCCTGCTAACTATCCTATCTGTTACCTAGCATATCTGTTCTTTGCAATGTGGTCTACTCATCTAATACACACAGTTAGGTTACACATGTGGTGCACACAATTGGGTTAGACTAGGCCACTGCGCGTATATATATGCTCTAGCCATGTTCATACTTTTTCCTCCGTATTTACTTTATCTACTCGACGACGTCGATCTCTACAAAGCGTTACACACGCATTTAGTTCTGTTCCATTAATCTTCCCCATCTGCCCATGCATGGTGCAGCCCACACCGTCTCTACAGTGGTTACAGGCGTTTAACGCTATGGTTCATCGGTCAACTTTCAAGCGCTTGTTTTCGCTTCGGCCGCATCTAATCGCTCCGCAATCGCCGCTGCCTCGGCCAAGTAACACGGCCCACGCCAGTCGGCGATGTGCATGGCGTATCTGTTCATGGTGTAGCCTACGCTCATCTTGTGTGAAGTCGAGTACTGGATGAGACTGCCTCCTGCACCCAGCCACCCCTGGAACTTGTTGTGGGCAGCCTCCCAGTTACGCGCACTATACCATGGGGGAGGCTGGGTTATGGTGGTGACGTCCGAAAGACCCATCTGTACAACACGTTCGGGTGAGAGAGAGAGAGTGTGTATACATGTGGTAGTGTGTGCGTGTATCATGCGCAAATAGGTGCTTACGAACTGGCGTTGTATGTTAATCATAACAATGTCTGCTGTCTCCATTTTGCATCTACTCACCCCAATACTAATTCAATATTATCTACCTGCCCTCTTCTTGCATATATTATATACATATATATATATACTTACACACACATATATATATATGTAAGTATATATTTATATATATATACTTAGGGATATATATATATACAAGGTATATTTATATATATATATATGTGTTTGTGTGTGCGCGTGTTGTTTTTGTATGTATATGTATATATATGTATATATATACATAAATGTATGTATACATAAATGTATGTATACATATACATATATATATATATGTATGTATATACATATCTACATGTGTATGTTTGTATGTATATATATATATACACATACATATATATATGTTCAATACGCAAGTGTGTGTGTGCGTGTGTGTGTATGTGCGTGCGTGTGTGTGTGTATTGATAAAATCACGCCAACATAGAATTAATTACAGATGTGTGTGAATCACATAATAAGTCACGTAGCATATCCAGATCCCTCTAGTAGAAGGGTTTTACGATTGGTTAATTTTCAAATCCATATAGACATACACACCCATTTGCGTGCACCATTTGAGTCGAGGAGCTTCCTTACATTCACCTACCTACGCTTTTAAGCAGCATACGTTTTGCGGTAGTCCTGCGTTTGAACATCAGGTTCTTGAGGAATTTCACAACGGATTCACTGCAGAAACATCATCTGCTCTCCTCAACAGCCTTATCTATGACACATACACTGCACCTAAATGACACATTCATTGAACTTACCTGAGTGTACCGTATGTCGGTGTTCAACGTCTCGTCTTTCAGCAGATCTAGTTTGGTGGAGGCTATCTCCACCGCTTGTTCGCTGAGGATGCGTTTGCCCGTTACACTGTCCACTCCCTTGTGCGCAAAGACGTTGGCCAGACGAGCAAGCACTGAACGAACGAGGGGTCGGACAAAGGTCACAGCTAAGACAGTGTGTGTGACACGTGTATGTGTGTGTATGTGTTCTGGTTTGTGCTTGCGAATCCCTGGGACAGTCAAAACATCACGTATTTCCAGTCACACGCTGCACACAAGCACAAAAACTGCACTCAGACAACCAGGATTCGTAAGACCTGTTTTTTAAGTCCGGGTGCATAGCAACGGCTTATTTGTTATAAGCGGCCACCTTGAAAGGCGCATACGGGTCCGAAAACCGGAGAACTCGCAATTTTGTATGAAAACCACCATGTTGGGCTATGCCTAACTCGTTTGAGTTTGATTCACTATTTTAGTGCCATTTATACATGAGCGCATACTAACGTAAATAGAACAATACAACACAGCCACAACGAATACGCCCACTGTCTGTTGTAACATAGTGTGTGTACCACTTGCATCGTTAAAGATACATGCAAACAAAGCACTCGAACGGAGTACACAGACCGGTAGTGACTTCATACATAGAATGGTAGTATGCCATACCTCCGCCGTGGCTGAAGCCGTTGGTTGACGCTGAGTGTTTCTCGCGCCAGCCCTCGTGCTCACTGTAGCTAGCCAAACTCCGTGGCCCATCTTTCCACACCTGTGTGATAGATTGTGGTGACGGAATATGAAGACGGGGGACGGAATAAGAAATCAGGGACGGAATAAGAAGACATGGGACGGAACAAGAAATCAGGGACGGAATAAGAAGACATGGGACGGAATAAGAAATCAGGGACGGAATGAGAAGACGGGGGACGGAATGAGAAATCAGGGCATGGCCGTGGCAGGCGAATTGATCACGAAGAAGCGACAGTCGAGATAGAACAAAAAGCCGGCAACGAAGCACGCAGATGGCAATGGAAGAAAGGCTCACGGCAGCAACGACAGTGCCTGGGAACATGCATCTCATGGCCTTGCCTTCGAGGCTTTCTAGACTGTTGCACACACACTACAAATTGACACCCGGGCCTATAGATACGACTAGCGCACACACCGGTAAAAGGTCCCCCCATGCACATGCATAACAAGGCACCCAATACAATATATGCTAGCTCTCCTTCGAAAGTACCTTTCTAGATCACAACCACATGACAACGCGCAAAGGACCTGAGTGAATGCCATGACCCACCTTCCAAAGCACCATTCTACATCACAATCACATGTTTTAGGGTTTAAGGGTACCTGAGTGAATGCCTGCGATGCCACTTGGGACTTGTCTTTGCCTATCGCGTTGCGGATGAACTGTGTTTCATTCTCGGCAAGGCTGACGTCGGTGTAGATTGCGTCAGTCACCGCCTTAGGCAACAGCAGACGCGGAACCACGCCAAACAGGAACTTGTGGGCAGAGGTCTCAATAGCCTTACCTACCCGCTGGGACATTTCTGACCCTTTCAACACACCTGAGATACACCGCACCGGCCGTGGTGGATGTGTTGTAAGGACAGATGAAGATTAGTTGGGGATAGGAGCAACTTATGTGTCCCGACAGGCTCAGGCACTACAACTTTGTGAACATTGTAGTTGAATACGAATAGATTTAAATATATAAAAGTATAGGTAAATGTGTGTATGTCTCCCAAATATGTATAAATATATTCAAGTATATGTATATGTGTGTGTGCCTCATAAATATATATAAATATATAAACGTGTATGTGTGTGTGCCTCATAAAAATATAAAAATATATAAACGTATATGTGTGTATGTCTCATAAATATATATAAATAAAAGCATATGAATATATGCGTATACGTCTCAAAAAGAACCTATATATATATATTAAAGTATCTGTACAGGTATGTACCATGTCCATATCTGCATATATACCTACACCTAAACCCTGCCTTCCCGCCTCCCTTATACACCCCCCACACACACCAATGCGGAAGTCCTTGACACCCATGGGCTGCAACACCTCCTGCTCTATGAGTTCGTTGATGTTGCGTTTGTGGGGGTCGACCAGTTTACATATCTCGTTGGCATACAGCCCTCGGGTGATGCCGTGGTAGCCCTGGCGACCCTTTTGGCGGAAGGTGCGTTCGTCCAGCGGAGTCTTCTCCAGGATCTGCTTAAACCTGTCCCCATTTTCAATCACCACGTCCAAGGGAATGGGCTCACACACGCCATGCAGTCCACCCTGTGATGAAAGTGGTACAGGGCAAAATAAATGGGACAATCATGTGAGGACTAGGGGCCAGGCACAGGCGCAAGAGAGTGTGCACCTGAAGTGAAGTGTACCTGCGATACATAGGATTCTTGAGGTTGTTTTTATGTTTTAAATGAAGGATTGCAAGATGGATGAGCATAGAGAGAGAAGTGCAGAGAGTGTTGTGCATATACGTTTATATGCATACATACACATACTGAAATACACAGAACACATGCATTCATATACTTGCCAATGTAAAATACTACACAAGTGTATATTTTCATCGTGCACGACATATCTATATTGTTGTAATAAAACATGAATGTATACATATACATAGAAGGATACACACCTAGATATGTATCTATATGTATACATATGCATACAAGACTGTACACCTACATATGTATCTATATGTATACATATCATACAAGCCTGTACATCTCCATATGTATCTATATGTAGACATATGCATACAGACTGTACACCTACATATGTATATATATGTATACATATGCATACAAGACTGTACACCTACATCATATGTATAAATATGTATACTTATGCATACAAATATACACACCTACATATGTATCTATAGCTGTACATAAACATACAAATATACACACCTACTATCTATATCTATGCATATACATACAAATATACACACCTACACATGTATCTATATGTACACATACGAATATGCGTATACCGAAAGACACCAAACTTTTGTGGAAATAAAGGCACGCGAGGATGTGGCACACGTACAAGTCATACTGTTTCTGCCATCAGCGCGTGTGTGTACACCAGATGGTCCTCTGCGCGCAACTCTCTCTCTAAAGTAGACGCAAAGCTAAACAGCCCGTGTACACGTATACCAGCCACTCATGAAACGATCCTTTCCGGACACCCACAACAACACGTGTGTGAAAGCCATACCGCGTGTGACATGAGATCCCCCAAAGTGACATTCTCCTTGCCGTTCTGCGCAAACTCTGGCCAGTACTTGGCAATGGGTGCGTCTACATGCAGCAACCCCTTATCCACGAGCAATAACATGGCCATCGACTCCACGAACTTGGTTGAGCTGAAGATCAACTGCAGAGTGTCTGGGGCGTACGCTTTGGTGAATGTGAGGTCTGTGTAGCCAAAGACGACGTCTACCACACACGCGCCTTCACGGTACACGGTCAGATGACCACCCACCTCGTAGCCTCGCTCGAAGTTCTCCCGCACAGGGTTTAGTATACCTACACAGCCAAGCATGTGTGTTTGAGTAGTGTGAGTACAACAGCCTACGCATATTGTGCTGATAGGAATTCTTGATAAAAGTACTATAAAAGCTGTATACGCAACCAATATGCAGGCATCAAGTGCCGCTACTATATATATTTAGTGTTCCCGCAATCAGCATCGAGCAGGTATGATAACAGACTTCAAAGCAGATCCTCAGCAATACAAATACTACGTACAGTCACATGTATTTATATATATATATACGTTTTTATAGATAGATATATATATATATATACATATATATATATGTGTGTGTGTTTGAATATAATATATATATATATTTAATATATCAACCTACTTGTATATATATACCTATACATATATATATATATGTATGTGTGTGCGTGTGTAATTAAATATAAACATAAACATAAATATATCTATATATATATATATATAAATGTATATGTGTGTATTTAGATATAGATATATATATATAAATA